CAGTACGAATTACAGAATGCTACAGCCATCTTCAATGATTCTCACCCAAAAAAACTACAGATGAACTGTAGTGCTATGAAAGAAGACTTACCACGCAAATGACCTGCTCTTTGAATTGCTTGATTGACTGCTTTGAGGTTTTCCAATAGCTCTGTGTGATTGTTACAGCGAATTTTATATCCATTTAGCAAGTCCTTATTAAGGTCATAGAGTTCCATATACCGATTCTTCATTGTCTTCCTGTGTAAATCAGTAGAAATTTAACATCATTTTATCTCAATATGGTAGGCTTAAGAAAAACTTGCAAACTTATTAGAAACATAAAGAAGATACCACTTCTAGCTGTATTTTCATTAAAACAAGGTAACTGCTAAAGTTTGCTCTGAAAACACTGAGAAGTTTCCATCACAATATTCTATTTCTTCCAAATAAATGAGGAAGACAAGTGGCCTTCCTTGGTTATTCGTCTACAGTTTGTTTCGATTTAGGTACTTAAGAATTATCAAGCCCAGGCCGGGGCGCGGTGGCTCACGCCTGTAATCCTAGCACGCTGGAAGGCTGAGGCAGGCGGATTGTTTGAGCTCAGGAGTTCGAAACCAGCCTGAGCAAGAGCGAGACCCTGTCTCTACTAAAAATAGAAAGAAATTAATCGGACAACTAAAAATATATAGAAAAAATTAGCCGGGCATGGTGGCACATGCCTGCAGTCCCAGCTACTCGGGAGGCTGAGGCAGGAGGATCGCTTGAGCCCAGGAGTTTGAGGTTGCTGTGAGCTAGGCTGACGCCATCGCACTCACTCTAGCCCGGGCAACAAAAGCGAGACTCTGTCTCAAAAAAAAAAAAAAAAAAAAAAAAAAAAGAATTATCAAGCCCATTGCACTAGTGGGTAGGGAAAAGCGAGAAAGATGATAGACTATCTTCCAAGTTTCACATTAATATTTATTAGGTGAAACTGACCTATTCTTATTTTTAGACAACTAACAGACTCAGCTTCATATTTTATCAAGGTTTTAAAAACAAAGTAATAAATTTAAAACCACAATTATTACTATACAACAATGAAAATGACTCAAAACAAAACCTGAAAATACCAAAGGCTGGCAAAGACGTGGAGCAACTGGAACTCTCGTGCATTGCTGATAGGCATACAAAATGGTGCTGCTACTTTGGAAAACGATTTGGCAGTTTCTTAGAACATTAAACATGCACTTACTATATAACTTGGCAATCCCACTATAAGGTATTTACTGATGAGAAATTAAAACATGTCTGCAAAAAACCCATATGCAAATATTTATAGCAGCTTTATTTATACTCAGCAAAGTCTGGAAAACAACCCAAATGTCCATCAACTGGTGAAGGGATAAATATCACATATCCATACAATGGAATACTGCTCAGCAATAAAAAGGAACTATGGAAACATGCGACAACACGGATTAATCTCAAAGGCATTACAGTAAGTGAATGAAGCCAGACTCAAAAGGCTGTTTATGTGTGATTCCATTTATATGACATTCTGGAAAAGGCAATACTATAGGGAGAAAAACAAAATCAGTGGTTGCCAAGGACTAGAGGTTAGGAGGGAAATTGATACAAAGAGGCACAAGAGTGTTGGAAATATTCTATATTTTGATTGTGGTGGCAGCAACATGATTATATAAGTTTCTCAAACTTTATTAAACTATAAACCTAAAAAGGGTGAATTTTTGTATGCATAAGTTATATATGAACTAATTTGACTTTCAAAAAATCAAAACAAGCCAGGTACGGTGGCTCAGATCCATAATCCTAGCATTGTGGGAGGCCTAGGCGGGAGGATCACCTGAAGTCAGGAGTTCCAGACAAGCCTGAACAACATAGGGAGACCCCATCTCTACAAAAAACAGAAACATTAGCCGGGCATGGTGGCGTGCACCTATAGTCCCAGCTACTCAGGAGGCTGAGGCAGGAGGATCACTGGAGCCCAGGAGTTTGAGGTTGCTGTGAGCTATCATCATGCCACTGTTCTCATGCACAAGCAACAAAGCGAGATTCTATCTCAAAAAAATACATAAATAAAACAAATTTAAAAATAAAAACAAATACATATATATATATATACACACACACACACATACACATGTAATCTTAGAGTCTCTAAAAGAAATATAAACAATTCAGGAAAGAAGGAAGTTAAAGGTTGGTGGTCACTTTCCTCCTCTAGGTATTTAACATTTTGCAAAGTCAAAGCCCTAAAGCCAGGAACATCTTTTTGACTTAAAAGAGAAAGAGACAAAAAGAGAGACATAAACTAAGGGGCCCTAGGGATAGCTGGCCAGAAAGAGCAAATATCTATCTCAATTTACAGATGATACAAGCATACATCTGGAAAAACTATAAGATAATTTATTAAAGTGGCATATAATAAAATAAAAGTCAACAGATAAAAATCAAGTGTTCATATACATAAACAGAAATCCATAATTATAGAAGATACGTGAAAAAAAGATATTTACAATTACAAAATAAGAACAAAAAACACCTAAGCTTAAACTTAACAAACGTCTAATATCTTACAGGAGGAAACCTATAAAGCACTCCTAAAAGACACAAAATATGAATATGATTTGAACAAATATAAAGGGACTCCACGTTCTTAGATAGCAAAACTGAACATCAGTGCAACAATGGCAGTTCTTCCTAAGTTCATGAATTTAATATGATCCCAGTAAAAATACCTATTTTTGTTGTGGAGCTACAAAAAGTGATGAAGTTCATTAGAAAGAACAAACAGTACAAGTAGCCAGGAAAACCATGACAAAGCAAGATGGGTTGGGGAGAGGGGCGCCTAGGCATACCAGGCACTAAAACATACACGGCAGAGATAACGGAAGAATCGTACAGTCAATAGTAGTTGCCAGGGGATGAGGGGAGGGGAGAAGGGGAAGTTACTCTTAATGGGTGCAGAGTTTCAGGTTTACAAGATGAAGAGTTATGGAGATGCTGCTGGTGTAAATACATTATGAACATATCTATACTTAAAAATGGTTAAGATGGTAAATTTTATGTTCTGTGTGTTTACCATGAGTGGGATAAACAAACCAACAATTTTTACTCTGCTCTTACACCACAACAATCAACACAGAAGACGTCTGTGACCAAACGAGTGGGGTTATTTCCCTCTACACCAAGCAAGCAATTGGCTCTGCAGCACACACCAGCTGGGTGTCCTACAAATCAATTCTGACACTAGCTACCTGGAGACAGCATCAGATCCCACAGATTGAGGGCCCAGTCCCACAAGACTGCCCCCACTTCAGACACCAGTCACAAGTCCAGACCCCTGGACTTCTAACTGACCAGCTTCAAGCTGGGGTTCCCATGACTCCCCCCTTTGGGTTTGATTAATTTGCTAGAGCTATTCACAGAACTCAGAGAAACTCACAATTACTGGTTTATTATAAAGGATATTACAAAGGATACAGATGAAGAGATGCATAGGGTGAGGTATGGGGGAAGGGGTGCAGAGCTTCCATGCCCTGGGTGCGCCACCCTCCAGGAACCTTCAGGTGTTCAGCTATCCGGAAGCTCTCCAAATCCTGTCCTTCTGGGTGTTCATGGAAGCTTCATTACATAGGCATGATTGATTAAACCAATGGCCAATGGTGATCAACTTAACCTTCAGCTCCTCTCCCCTCCCAGGAGGTTGAGGGCGTGGGGCTGAGAGTCCCAACCTTCTTGTTTATTCAGGTGACCTCACCCATCCTGAAGCTATCTAGGGGCTGCCAGCCATCGATCAACTCACTAGCATACAAAAAGACATTGCTCTGGAGACTACGAGGATTTTAGGAGTTGTTGGTTTGGATGTGGTTTGTCCCCACTAAAACTCATGTTGGTGTTTAATTGCCAGTGCAGCAGTGCTGGTGGTGCAGCCTGGTGGATGGTCTTTGGGTCATGGGGGCAGATCCCTCAGGAACAGATTAATGCCATCTTGTGGGAGGTGTAACAGTAAGAGCCACCATCTTAAAGCTAACTAATAACTCTTTCTCTTACAGTGCCTAACTGTGTCCCTGCTTAAGAATCCCCAGGAACTGGCCTTGAACAAGTAACCCTGAAACCAAGATTGCAGGACCGCCCCTGGAGAAGAATGCTGAACAGGTCACCTTCAGTTCTGCTGCGGTCTAGCTGACTGATGCCAGCCAGACTACTCACGATAACTGTGGGAACAAGATATGGTGACCTGCACATAGCCAGCTCCTGCACCTAGTTTTCCAGAACTCCTTTCCCTTTAAAATCCTTCAGCCAGCCTGAGGAATTTGAGATGATCTTCAAGACAATAATTCTCTACCTCCTCAGGCTGTGGCTCCTAACTAAAACCTATTTTCCTATCACCAACACTTGTCTCTCCAGTCTGGCTTTTTGAGCAACAGGTAGCCAGTAGCAATGAACACCTTCAGTGTTCAGACTATGATCTCTAAATATCATTTCCCATTTTAAAAAAACAGGACTCTAGAAAAATGACTGATTCCATATTTATTTTATTTTATTTATTTTTTTAAAGACAGGGTCTCATTCTGTCACCCAGGCTGTACTACAGTGATGCAAACAGAGCTCTCTGTAACCTAGAACTCCTGGGCTCAAGCAAACCTCCTGCCTCAGCTTCCCGGGTAGCTAAGACTACAGGCTTGCGCCACGATGCCCAGCTAATTTTTAAAACGCTTTGTAGAGACAGGATCTTGCTGTGCTGCCCAGGCTGGTCTTGAACTCCTGGCCTCACGTGATCCTCCCACCTTGGCCTCCCATATAGCCTGGATTATAAGTGTGAGCCACTGTGCCTAATTTGATTCCATATTTAGACCTGGAAATGTACCAAATTAGCATGAAACATCTTGCAATATAAGAGAACAAAGAACTAATGAAACTAATGGGACTATGTCCAAAGGAAACTGTCTAAAGAGGCTTCCATTGGCAGGACAATTTAGCCATAAAAAATAATAACTGAAATGGACTGAAACACATTAAATATGTTAAAATGCATGAGTTCATAGGGATTTAAAAATCTCACTAGTTACCTTGGAGGATGCTGGGGAACGAAATCATTATTTTAAAGCTGATAAATAACCTGTCTTTCCTGTACAAATTGTACCTTGGGGAACCAAATAATTCACTAATTCATGAGGGAACATTATTTTTCCTAGAAGTATTCCAGCTAATATATGAAGAAAAATAACAGAATTAAATATCACTATTTTACAAAC